ACTGAGGAATTAATGCCCAAGAGCAGTTACTAATTGCGTATTTGTATAGCCGGTATGGAAAAGTCTCTGCTTCGGTGGAGGGTAGCCTTGGTAGCATATATAAAGTCACTGGTATGTGCTCTGGTCTGGGCCACCAGCCTTTTCAAATTTAGATTCTGACAGCTCTGGGAGGTGGTTCTGATAGCACAGTCCCATCTTTCAATATAAGGGTATGGGAAGCAGAGAAAGAGTCCCTTCCTGAGTGGGTAAGTCAGGGAGGTGAATTACAGGGTGTGTTTAGACAAGATTGGTGATGAAGGCGGGTGGGGTGACCTGGAATGGCATCTGTTTAATGTGTCTCTGTCCAGTGTTAGGCGCCGCAGTACCGCCTCGGCGGCAGGGCTTGGTGGGAAGAGGCCTGGGCCCTTGCCCCGCCCCCTGCGTCCGGCCCTGATTGGTCTTCCCTGGTACGTGGTGCTGCCTGCCGTCCTGTGCCCGTGCCCCTGGTTCCCTACGGCAGGTAGGGCCGGCAGTGTCCTGCCAGAGCTGAGAGAATTCAAGTTCTTGCCAGTCCTTTTCCACTCAGGCTCACACCACTATCCTTTTTTTTTTTTTTTTTTGCGGTACGCGGGCCTCTCACTGCTGTGGCCTCTCCCGTTGCGGAGCACAGGCTCCGGACGCGCAGGCTCAGCGGCCATGGCTCACGGGCCCAGCCGCTCTGCGGCATGTGGGATCTTCCCGGACCGGGGCACGAACCCACGTCCCCTGCATCGGCAGGCGGACTCTCAACCACTGCACCACCAGGGAAGCCCTATGTATTCCTTTTTTATATTCTTTTCCATTATGGTTTATCACAGGATCCTGAACATAGTTCTCGGTGCTGTGCAGCAGGACCTTGTTGTTTATCCATCCCACATGTAATAGTTTGCATCTGCTGACCCCAGCCACCCCCTCCCCACTGGCAACCACCAGTCTGTTCTCTATGACACCACCATTCTGAAGGAATGCTCACCAGTCATTTCTGGGGTCCCAGCTGAGGGAATGATCCTAGACTTTGGGCTCTCAGCATCCTCCTTCAGGAGAGAAAGCAGAGCAGGTGCCTGCATCTCCAGAGAGCATCTCTGCCTCTGGGAAAACTGGGGCTTGCTAGGTCCTCTGCTCACAACCACTGGGCAGAGCAGCTGTTGCTGTACAGCGTGGAGATGGGGCAGCTGGGCTCAGAGAGGTTGATTAACCTACCCCCGGTTTCACAGCAGGAAGGGCAGGATGAGACTTGAATCCAGGTTTTTGGTTTATTCTTCTACTTGGCTCTAGCCTAAAAATTAATATATAATTTTTGACAGTTGCTGTAATCTCACAGCGTTCTGAGACAATTTTTAAAAAGCTCTGAACTTCATTTGTAAATATGTTTAAGTAAATTATTACATCCAAACCAAAAAGAAAAAGACAAACACACACATAAAACAGAAAAAAGAAAGAACGAACTTTGGCATTATTTTCCATTAGGTATATAATATATGTACATTTAATGTAATTTAAACTAATCACCAGTAAGAATAGTCTAATGCGTAATGAATCCATGTGATTTGGACATGTTTACCAGAAATTTCCCTCTGTTAATGTATAATTCAAAACGCCTAGTTCTTAGTGGATTTTTTTCACAGACTCCTGATACTTGACGTGTGAAATAAGCCATACTTAACATAGTTTTTAGGTGGTTATTCAATATCACATCTTTGATACACGCTGCATGTCAAGATGTTTTTTCAATCTGCTATAATAATCCTTACTATAATTTTGAGGTTATGGGGCGAAAACAAGAAGAAAGTGTATATTTGGGGGTAATATAAAAGTAATTAATAAATGATTCTACCACCAGCTATGAAAAAAATTACTGTTATGTGTCAAAGTAACTAAAATTTAAATTGCTAGAATATGTAAAAGGATATGGTATTTTGATAAAAAATTACACATTAACTAATATAATTTACTTTTAAATAGTGACTATTTATGTTTGAAGTATAGCCATAGGCTTCTCAAAGGTGGGACTTTGTAGCTTTTGCCATTTTCCTGTTTATGTGAAGGAAGACGAATTTAACTGGAGAAATCCTTAAGGTAGTAGAAAAAGGAAGTGAATGGTTTGTGGATTCGGCATTCTTTGCAGGGTCACAGGTTGAAAAAGGATCTGAGGAGGTAAAAGGATCAGAAGCTTTCTAGTCGCACTGGACACAGCTTTTGCCAGTCCGTGTTTTCTGGGTTAGTTTCTGTGCTGTTGTCATCAGTGAGTTCTGCCTCTTAGATGCGTAATGTTAATCATCTCACGTGTCCTGAGAGACTTTGGCCAACTTCCCTGCCTTGTCACTCTTTGCTGGGTGCGTTTTTCACTGTGGAGCCGTTACTTTCATTGCTACTGAAAGAGACACACCTGTAGGATGGTTGAGCAAAAGGAAACCTAGGGCTGTGGTGGCGGAGGCCTTCAACCAAAAGAGAGCGAGGTTTGATGCGACCAACATGTGGACATTTTATCTTGAGAATTTAGTCAACATTAAAAAAGTTTTTATCCAAAGTTATAATGTTTTATAGTTTTACAAGTGGTAAAGCCAAAGTCCTTTGATAAAAGAAGGTTCCTAGAGAAGGGCAGAGACCGTCACACCGCTGTTCAGTTCAGTCCTTGTGCTCTGACACCACTGGCACCGACAGCTCAGATGGGTGTGCACACAGGAAAGGTCGAGTTCAGGCTTAATGAACACTGATAATAGTTACTTGTGGTTATTTTGAGCGTTACTAATGTTTTTAAGTTGCTTTCTCTCTGACTGGGGGGAACCTAAGCTTTCTAGGTGTGAGGTATAAAGAGATAAACTTTACCCAAAGGAATAAAATAAAGAAATAACAGGAAAATTAATTTGTGTAGACCGTACCTAACTTTGTTCCAGGCACTTAGTGGTGTTGAATTATATGAAATCATCATGTTAACCCTGAAAACTCGTCTTGCTTTCGGTAAAATTTGATCCAGGTATAAAAAGCCATGTATAAAGAATTTGTTTTTCCAAATTGTTCTCAGAAGGTGATCTGTGCTCACCTGCCAGGAGTTACAAAAAGAACGAATAACATGGTTTTGTCTGCCCGTCCTCTGCGCTCAGTTTTACATCCCAACACTTGACACATTTCTGTTTGCCAGTGGGGTTGTCTCTGGAGCTTTTTCATACAATATTGGTAGGGGATTATTGGTCCCAAAGATGGATGAGCACACAGGTGTCCAGGTCCCTTCTTTGCAGAATTCAGTGGCAAGTAGGCAACTGGTCTGCACGTAGGGGCTTCTGTACAGAAATATCGGGGGACTTGCAGACACTGCCCCAACATGTACATTTTTTTCCCGGGTAGAAAAAATGTTGGCGAAATTTCCTCAGTAATGGCAACGAATGAACTGTGGACATGCACAACAACATGGGTGAGTCTTAAAATAATCACACCGAGTAAAAGAACCCAGACAGAAAAAGAATACATTCTGTGTGACTGCATTTTCATAAAGTTCTAGGCAGTGCCAGCTCGTCTGTCATGACAGGGAGGAAGTCAGTGGTTGCCTGGGGAAGGAGGGCTGGTGAGGAGGAGAGGCAGGGCTGATGGGCAGGTGGGGAGTATTACAGAGGGGCATGAGGAAGCTTTGGGGGGTAATGGACATGTTGCTGATATTGATAGTGATGATGTTTCATGGATGTATACGTATGTCAGCACTTATCAACCGTGTGCACTGTATGTACGTGGAGTTTAATATTTGTCTGTTATACCACATGTATAATAAAAGGGGGAAGTATTGTCTTACGACTGTAAACAGAAATCAGTTGTCACTTGCCATTGACAGCAAGTATCTAGAAAAATAAATGCAACTGAAACAGAACAATGAAAGAAAAACCTATATTCTCCTATATCATTCTGAGCATAGCAAGGGCTCCTTTGTTTTATAACTCTGTTCGTTTGTGACTTTTGATTCTTGAAATATCTTTCACGATGGGCAGGGAATTATGTTTTAATTGTCAAGAGCAGGAGTTTTGGAGTCGGGCAGCCCCGGGTGTAGCCTGGTCACCTGCTAGCCGTGTGCCTATGGGCAGGACACACAACCTTCCTAATAGTTTTTCCACCTCTCTATGAAATGGGAATGGTAGAGGCATAGTAAGTGCTCAGTAAACGGAAGCAAGTTTTGTTACTGGTTTTGTTCAGTGCCTGCGCTGTGAGGGCTCTGGGTGTCCTCACAGGGGCATCTGGCTGCTACGTGGCCTCCTATTCTGCCTTCTCTTCTTAGTGACCTCTGCTTTCTGCAGGCTTGACTTGTTTTCAATTCATTAGTCTTTTCCTTTGTTAAATGATAATATTATTGTTTGTAAGTGACATATTTATGATTGCATATTGAGAAATTCATCCCGGCATTTAGCATGTACTTTTTTGGTTTGTCTTGGATGTGAGTATATTTATCATTCATCTGTAGAAAAAAATATTTTGACTTTTTAAATTTAGCTGATCTTATTTCATTTAACCTTTTATTAGCTCTTATAAAGTTAATAAAAATTAATATATCTATTTATGGAAGTGAAAGTTGATTAGTTTATCCTGAATTAGTCATACTGTTGATATGTAAGTTTGAAGAACAGTAAAAGTATTTTTTCTTTAACTCTGAGAAGATGTCATTTTCACTTATAGAAACTAGCAGAATTACCTGCTTTCCCCATTATCTTGACCTAATTTCTTCCTCTGCCCGGTGGTTGCAGGGATTTGGCAGGTGATTGATTTGGTTTTAGAGGGTCCTGGAGCTACACAAAGTGTTTTTCATATTGGAAAAGACATGCCCAGTTTTTCACAAGTTTTAAGATTTATTGCCTCCCCCCAAAGTGTTGCAAATTAATTTGTTTGCTATTTATTTTAGTCAGAATGTAGGAATTGGTGTCATTAGCCGAAGGGCAGCTTTGATCACAGGAAAGGCAAGACTGCCTTTAACGCTCCATGTCTGTTTGTGTTTGGTGTCTTTGCAGGGCTGGACATCAGATGGGTGGACTGCTACTTTCCTTTTACTCATCCTTCCTTCGAGATGGAGATCAACTTCCACGGGGAATGGCTGGAAATTCTTGGCTGTGGGGTGATGGAACAGCGCCTGGTAAATTCAGGTAGAAGAGAATCCACGTGTATTCACAGGCTCTCTCTTCCCAGCTGACTTCCTTTACAGGCTCGTTTGCATCCGCGCTCACCTACTCCTGTAGGACTAGCCTCCGTCTTTCTCTCCTTGTATGTTGCCCTCTAGACTTTTCTCTGGCACTCCACTCTGGAAGAACTTCATTCTCGTGGCTAATTTTGCAAAAGCTTCTTGGTTTTGGAGCTCTTCCTTATCAGCGCCCGGCGTTGGTTTGTACTTTGTGATTTCATATTTGTTGATCAGCTGCTTTGTAATTGCCGACAGGTCTTTGATGCGTGTCCCAGGAGAGTGGTTTGTCTTCCAGACTATTTAAGAACAAAGCCAACATATAATCCCTTTTTTTGTTCCTACTGCATTTGGAACCAAATTCAGCAGGTATTTCATAAATATGCTAAAAACACAATATAAAAATACTTAGGCCTGTGATGTTTGGTGGTTTGCCACCCTCAGCGTTGGCAGTGCTCCCTGACTGGGAGGGAGGGAAGAAAATGGGGGCTCTGATGACATTCTCCCCGTTCTGTAAGAACTCGAGAAGGATCTTTCCAGCTCTCCTCTGCAGGACCATTGCTTAACAATAATGATTATTTCTAGGAATTCCCTCGTGGTCCAGCAGTGAGGACTCCATGCTGCCGAGGGCCCGGGTTCGATCCTTGGTCCAGGAAGTAGGATCCCACAAGCCGTGCAGTGCAGCCAAAAAAAAAAGATTATCTCTAAACTTAATTTCAGAGCTCTGAGGTTTTTTTTTTAAGTCACTATCTGAATTTAAATTTAAAAATACTTGTTCAGAGTGTACATCCTCCATGGGAAGCTGGCTGAGACTGGGCGTGTGGGGAGGGGTCACTGCCTGAGCAGCAGGCAGAGGGGACCCCATGAGCCGGCTCCCCACTGCCCCCGCTCCTCCCTCCTGGAGAAGGACATGCGCTCTGTGGTCTGGGAGGGTGGTGGCTCTGATTCAGGGCTGGTCACGGGCCTCCCACCATAGACCGGAGGGGAGCCGTCCCTTCTGGTGACTCAGAGCTGCGATGGACCATGGGTAAGGTCGTGGCCTTAGAGAACGCGGCTGGAGGGAGACGGGAGATGGGGCGGCCGTGAACGCAGGAGCTGGTGCTGCCTGGGCTGGGAGACCTGGGGCCTGGCCTCCCCGACCCCTCTTCCCCAGGGGCCCGGACCAGCCAGCTCACAGATTCCTCTCCACTCGGCCAAGCAATGCTTGCGGGAGAGCTGGCCCAGCACAGCACCACGTGGTCCTTGGGTGGTTTTCCAGTATTTGAAGGTCTGTCCTGGAGAAGAGCAAGCAGAGAGGTCGCAAACGAGGGCCTGTGAGTAAAAGTTGGGAGGCCTGGGCTTGCGTGTCTGAAGCAGCACGTGTTCTGTCAGTTGACAGCTGTGTGTCTTCAGGCAGGTTGTTTAACCTCGCCAGTCTCGGTTCTCTCATAGTCAAATGAGCACAGCGATACCGCCCTCAAAGTTTCTTTATGAGGGTTAGTGGAGGTGATGCACGTGACGTGCTTAGCACAGGGTCTGGCGCGTAGTAAAATTGTTTCAGTAAAAATTAATCTCTGATGTTATTAAACATTGTTTTCAAATGGTGAGAGCCATTTATTAACAGAGAGCCCCCTTAGTCGAAAATATTTAAACAGAGCCTGTCCTGCACGTCATAGAAACAATTTCTAGCCAGTTGGAACTAGGTTACGTCTTTGATCCTGGTCATTTTAGTATCCATGATTCTGGATTGAGTGAATGATTTTAGAGGAAGAGAGAAAATTGAGAGTGGTAGGAAACAGGAAAATAAAAGAGATGTATATGTATTTTAATAGAAAACACAAAATACTGGGAGCAAATATGTAAGCTTTAATCTCTTCTTGAGTAGGAACTAACTTCAAATACTTCTGTGGTGTTTTGTTTTGTTTGTTTTTTTTCTGTGGTGTTTTTGTTTGTTTTGCTTCGGGGGGAGGGTGAGTCACATATGAGTTGCCGCTTGGAATCGTGCTTCCTTGTATGTTTCCAGTATCCTGGATGGGTTTTTATGAGGTTTATTCACACAGTAATTGGCTGAATACAGTCTCTGAAACAGGTTTCCAAGTCATTATTGCACATTAATGAGACTGCTGTTCTGCAGTTAGATCAGCCATGTCAGGTGATTCTTGGAGGAAATGGCAAAGTGAAAAAAAAAGAAGACACCTAAGATGCAAACGTGTCTGAGAGATTCACCGTGGTGGTGGGATGTGCTTTCGTTTGTTGGGAAATGGTACACATAAAATTTAAGTTAAATACCTTGCAAGAGAGAGAGAGACTAAAGAAAAGGAAGAAGAAATGATTTTATAAAAGAATTTCTGTGTGGGCTTTGCTATTTGAAGTTGAAGTTATTATGACAGAGTTCTTCTCCGTGTTCTCAGACTCGAATGTGTTTTGACGTCTGTAGTTAAAATGCTTACACTGTGTGCCTGGCAGTCACTAACCACAGACAGCATTTGCAAGTGGAGCTAACTTTCTGTTTTCTGAGTTCCTACGGTGTGGCGGAAGCCTGGCTCCGGGCACTTTATGCCTCTGTTCAGTTTGCCATTCTTGCTGTCTTTCCTCCTGTATTTTTTCCCTCCCCTCTCCTCCCCTCCCCTGCCTTTGAAAATAGAACTTCCAAGAAATGCTAAAATTGATGGTTACAACTCTCCATCTTTATGGCCCTTCAGAGGTTCAGCTAAATGCTGAAATGACAACCGAGAGGCTGATGGGGCAGTGATAATAGCAGACGTGTGCCAGCCTCTCACTAAATGCCCTAGAGGCTTTCTTTCATTTAACCTTAACAACAGGGCTCTGGGTGGATGCTGTTACTAACCCCATCTTACAGAGCCTCAGAAAGGTGATCAGGCTCGAATGGCTGGCAGCGTCGCTTGCCCAGATCTTTCCGACCATAATCAACTACTGTGTTCTGCTGCCTGAACAGTAAATTGCATGATTTTGAAGTGGCTAGAAATTCCTTTCAAATAAATGATTCTGCCTAACGTAGAATGAAGAGCTGGAACCAAATGAAACAAAAGCAAACAAAACTCTGTTGTGTAGTTATTCGTTACTCCTGCAGAGGGGCTCATCCCCCGTGTATTATCTCTGTGATCGAGTGCATTTAATTAAAAGCATGAGATTAGATTCCTAATTTGAACAGGCATTGAAAACACTTTATTACACATTTAAGTTGACTATGGCACGTGTGTGTTTTTGTGCACAGAATAAGATAAGGCTGTTCCGGATAGCTTAGAGAATTTTATTTCTTCTTCTTTAAGCTCTAGTGCCTTCACCATTGCTTTCTTTCTTTTTTTTTTTGATAAATTTATTTATTTATTTTATTTTTGGCTGTGTTGGGTCTTCGTTGCTGCACGCGGGCTTTCTCTAGTTGCGGCGAGTGGGGGCTACTCTATTGCAGTGCATGGGCTTCTCATTGCAGTGGCTTCCCTTGTTTCAGAGCATGGGCTCTAGGCATGCGGGCTTCAGTACTTGTGGCATACGAGCTCGGTAGTTGTGGCACATGGGCTTAGTTGCTCTGCGGCATGTGGGATCTTCCTGGACCAGGGATCGAACCTGTGTCCCCTGCATTGGCAGGCGGATTCTTAACCACTGCGCCACCAGGGAATTCCCTCCGTTGCTTTCTGACTGCTTAGATTTGGTAGTTGTGACCTGGGTGGCGACTGCTGTCATGATGATCTGATTGTTTTTCCCTTGAGGACGGTAGTGAGTCACGTCTCCAAATACGACACACTTTTTTCCCATTGGGCTGACTCAGGCTGCTGTCTTTGCAGGTAGAATACAGAGCAGGAACATCTGAAACCATCACCAGGTGACTACGGGCTGTCATCATGCCTGGAAGGAATTTACCATCTATTGAGCCCCTGTGAAATTTAGAAGATTATACCTGGGCCAGGAAGCAGAAAAGTCTCCACAGTGGAAAATAACTTTAAAAGCGGAATTGCCTTCTTTACCTCTTGATTAAAATTTAAAACTTGACTCTTTGGGGAAAACCTTGTAAATACGTACGTGAACAGTTTCTAGTTTTAAATAATCATTCTTTTGTTCGTTTGTTTGTCAAATATTTCTTGAATTACTTCTAAGGCTATAGAAAAGCAAATAAGCATTGTCCTTGCCTTTGAGACCAGCGCAGTGCACAGAGATGTAAACATGAATGATTAGGGTGCCACGTGGTCCATATCAGTAACAGAGGCACGGTGGGCAGAGTGGGGAGGGGAGGGACTGGGGAGGAGTGTGCCAAGCCCTCGTCCTGGTTGCACTCAGGGTGGAATACTGGTGATAGGCACACATGAAGCATGCACCCTAGAAGAAGTTCAGTTCCTGTTTGTAAGGGCTTGTGTACTTTGTCTTTGCTTGGACGCCCAGTTGTTATACCTAATGCTGCTTTTCCTATCTAAGAATAAATCTATTTGCAGTCTATCCCTCTTTGATAGAAGTCTCTACAGCCTCTACACACACTTATATCGCTCAGTGTTACTGATCTAAGTTGGTGAACTTCCAGATGGCACAGACCAAGACTGTACAAGCACTGTGCTGTATACAAGCAGACATGCCACTCCTACACGTAGCATCTTGTCTGCGTAAGGCACTGTGCTAGACAAAGAGGAAGATACAACAAATGGTAAGATGTGACTTCTCCCTGTAAAACTTGGAGTGAGGCAGGGAAGATGAGGCTGTGTAATTAGAGCGTGAGCTTACGTGCCATTCGTGAGATCAGGCTTTGGGATATGCGAAGAGGGAGCTCTGTCCATCAGTTAGACCACTGGAGGTCTAACTGATGGAGCCACTGAATGATCTTGGCACCTCTGTCGAAAACCATGTTTGGGTTTATTTCTGGACTCAATTTTATTCCATTGTTCTACGTTCCTGTCCTCATGTCCACACTGTTTTGATTCCTGTAGCTTTGTAGTAAGTTTTGAAATTGGGAAGTGTTAGTCCAACTTTGTTCTTCCTGTATTC